CCAAAGAAGCACTGAAGAAAATCATGGAGAGCCAGCAGGAGCTGTTAAACAGAAAAAGAGGAAAAGGTGATTTGTTGCATATTCATTTAATCTTTCCTGGAAGTTGTACTTAAATTGTTGAAAAGGACTGCTCTCTTCAGAGAGGGGTTCTGATCTAGCGAGCCCATCTTTATGTGTTAGAAAGGAGTCATTGAAGGCTCCTTTTGTCTTCAGCGGCTCTGGAAAGGACCAGATTTAGATGTGTACAGAACAAGCCATGAAGCCAGCCTGCCCACGGTGGTACTCTCCAAGGAAAGGAAGGAGGGCGCTGGAAGACCAATTTTTATCGGGCTGAGGAAAACGTTTGTCAATGCGATGAACTGAGCTCTTGAGCCAAAGGCCTTGCTTTTGAGTAGCTTATGACTTTGTGGCATTGCAGGAGGTAATCCTTGACCAGCAAGCCAATTTTTTATGCTATATCAAGACATTAAAAAGCCTCTGGTGGGCTTTTGGTTTTAAATGCCTCTTCCCTTCAAAAATAGAGAAACATTTCAGATATAGCCTTTTGGTGATATTGTAACTTGGCCTTCAGAGTATAATTTTCTTTTCCCCTTAAAAATATCCTCTGGCCAAAAAAATTGCCCATCTCTGTATTAGAGAGTTCAGAAAAGTGAGGAAATGCATGCCAGGATAAGTTTGCATACTTAGAATCCTGGAACTGGCTCAGAATTGTATGGGAACTTCTTGATCTCTCTTTATAACCAAATGGGCAAACTAACCCAAATACTCTCGTTAAGTAGATGCTAAAGTTGAATGATATCTACTCCTTGCTTTTAAGGGAGAATTCTGTATTTTATCTTTTTGTATTTTCTCCAGGAAGGCTACCCTGTTGTTCTTTCCTATCTTTTCTCAGTATGATTAAAAAAGTCCCTTTGTCCCTCTAGAATTTTTCTTTATCAAGCCTCTTTTTCTCAATAAACTATCCTAACGTCTTTTTAAAAATAATGTTCAGATCCTTCTTTTGTTTTTGGTGGTTTAAAAAAAAGAGGCTATTGGATTTTTCTTCCTTTGTCTGTACTTCTCATACTACCAAGAAGAAATTCTGTTAGGCAAATTTGGGACGATCCAAACATGGCATTCAAAATCATGGGATACAATGACGTTAGTAGTACATTAATTCTTCCTGCCAGGGAGAGTTCTGTAGAGTAGCTATTTGAAGGAATTAACATCTGGCTGAAAAACAGGACCTGCGCTCACACTTTTCCAGGTTTCACAGCCTTGAGTTGTAAAGATAATAAAGGCAGGATACAAAAAACAAATAAATCTCAGTTTTTTACTAAAATACTCCAGTTATGTGATTTAGCCTATTCTTGGAATTTTTTTTTAAAAAAACATTCTTTGTAAAGGACTACCAGCGAACAGCTAAATAAATAAATAAATAAATAAAGGAAATAACTCTTATATTTCCAAAAAGCTTTTTCTTTAGGCTGAAGGTTATTAGTATCTTGTATTATTTAATTAAATAGGAATTATCATCTAGAATATCACCAAGCTGCTTGATACCGAGAACAAGCATTTGTATAAGATACCTGCCTCTGCTTGAGTTTTTCCTTTTATTTATTTAAGATATGACATATCATACATGAACTAGCAATAAAAATTACCATTTCAACTAGATTAGTAAACTCCAATAAAATATAAACGTCAAAATATCTATGTTCAAATTTCAATGCCTGGATCATCTAACCATTGAAGCGCAACATTATTTATATTAAAACAATCAGATACTGGACTGGTGTATGTCCTCAGCTTAAAGCTGGTCACGATGTGATCTATAATTTTATGTGGGACCCCTGAGTCACACTGAAGGGAGGATACTATGCCCTGCTTACACAGAGAGTCCCAGTAGGTGAGATGCGAATCTTACTGGATTATCCATTGCTGACAATGACCTTTTTGTGGGGTTATTTATATGTCTTCCTATAACTGGGTGTTCAGTGACCCATTTGGCTTTCCATTGGGATTTTCCTTTGGTTCAACCCTCTGAGTACAATAAAACTAATTTGCTACCTATGTAGCTAAATAGTTGTTTCTCCTAATTTGAATTGGGATGTGGTGACTCTCCTTTGATCTAGTCTGCCCTCTATTTATTGCTAAACCTTTTCTAATATACTTTTAAGGAGGTGTATTAGGGCCAGAGAGACTAACCTAACAAAAAAAGCTTAGATAGCAAACTGGAGCTTTTCCTCTATCTTTTCAGGATGTTACTAAATTGCTTTATAGCTGTTTCTAATTAAGGTCTTGCAAGATTTACTGTGTTCTCCATTATCAATGCTCTTTCAGTCTTTTCATGGGACAAATTTTAGTGCAATGGAACTTCCAATTGGATTAAGACTTTTTTTCTGCCAATATAATATAGCATGAATGAAAGCTTCTGTGTAGGACATCCAATTCTTGGTAGTATCCTCATGCAGGAAAGAACTGTAGAATTTCTTTCACAAACTAGATTAGGACAACTAATTCACTTTTTTTAAAGAGCAGCCTAGCCCACGCCCAATTCTTTGTGGTACTAATGAGAAAAATGGATTTGTGGCTTGCCACTAATTCTGCACCAATCATTGAACATTGATTGTTTCTTTACCAACAAAAGCTTTTTCATTACAGAGACGTTCCTTTTGGGTTTGTGAGTCTGTTTGGATTTTTTTCCAAGTTCTACATTTTCATCTTTCGAGGTTCCTTCCATTTTGAGATACATTGTTGATCCAAGCATGTTCTTTAGTTGATCCAACAAAGATCTTGGAGTAATTGTTATTTACATCTAGGGCTTAGTTTTTTTCATACTAAAATGTGACCATAACCACTCCTCTTTTTGTGGTTTCTAGAAGTCTTTTGTTACCAGTCCATGATAGCAATCAAACACATTTGATTGAAATATAACGTCTGTTTTCACACATCACCCAGAAAGTGGGGTTTTCCTATAAAATCTCTTCTATAAATCTCAGAATTGTTTAGTGCAGCAGCTCCCAACCTTTTCTATACCCCGCACCCCTAGAATGCTTCTGATATATTCCCGTACCTTTACAAAAGTTCAAAATAACGGCAACTAATTATGCATATACACTATAATTTTGAAAACCCAAGTTTTTGCACCCCCTGGAATATTGTCTCGCATCCCCAGGGGGTGCAAGCACCCCCAGTTGGGAACCCCTAGTTTGGTGGTTTCAAGAAAAGGGAAAAACCGTGGTCACACTCACATCAACATGTCCACTAAACTGCCATAGTCCTGCCTCCCGCCAGAACCATTTTGTTGGTAGAATGCCTTGTGTAGGGTATACATTGGAATGGTCTTGATTCATTCTAAAATTACTTCTTCATTGATAATCTCAGTATCTTGCTAATAGCGCCCTGCATTTCACCAGCTGGAGCAATTAGAAATACACAAATCTTAAAGGAAAAATTCTGTTAACTCTAACCCATGCCAGATAGTGCATGCTTTTCATTGCCATAAGAAAACATGTTTAATATCTTAATATAAATGTATTGCTGTCAGAACAGCAGCTACCTCAGTAGTTAAATTAATAAATGAACTGGTTATAGGAAGAATCATTATATACACTAGGAGCTACAGTATACACTGGAGAAGAGCTTCCATTCATCTTGGATAATACACAAAATGAACAAATGGGAGTCACCCTATTTGGATTATCTCCCTACACCAAATCACCTAAAGTAATAAGCTGTAGTTCACAGAAAGCATCAGTGTTCCTTTATCATTCATGTATACTTGGAAAAGAAATCATTAAATCCTTTTTCCATGATGCACTGTGAGCACTTCCTTTTGATATAAGATAGACTAAGGGACTACTCTTTAAATTCAGCTACCATGGATACTGGCCACTTTGGCTGGGAATTATGGAAACAGTAATTCTATCTATGGTCCAAATTGAGAAGGGCTATTTTATATGACTGCCTTCCCTCTTAATGTGAGGAATAAATTTCTAAAAGTGTAATGATCTTAATTATTTACATACCTTTTTTGCCAGGTCGCAAAGGCAAAGGTAAAGGTGCCAAGGGAACACAAGATACACAAGACAAAAAAGTGAAATTCCAAGGCAAGAAAACAAAATTTGAAAGTGAAGATGAAGAGGAGGGTGAAGATGCAAATACCACAGGTGACTTTGTGGAGCAAGATACCAAAGCATTCATATGGTGTGCTGAAAAATTGCTATTAAGTTATTGTCAAAGCTTCTGTGTTAATCTTTGTTAGCTGTTTGGAACTCTGCTCCCCAAAACAGAATTGTGCAGGCTATTGGAAACTTGCCAGCTAAAACTGTTTGTAGTATTCAGACCATAACTTCAGGTCTGCCACATTCTCTTTGGAGACCACATTCTACATAAATGATGAATCAGAATGGAAACCTGAGTTACACGTCTATGGGTAGATTCACCATCCATTGGAGATTGGAGTGTCTATGTACTCTGTTTCCCCTAAAATAAGACCTAACTGGAAAATAAGCCCTATCATGATTTTTCAGGATGCCTGTAATATAAGCCCTACCCCCAAAATAAGCCCCAGTTAAGATTGTAAGCCAGACAGATCCATTTTGTATCATATTTCCCCCCAAATAAGACCTAACTGGAAAATAAGTCCTAATGCATCTTTTGGAGCAAAAATTAATATGACCCAGTCTTATTTTGGGGGAAATATGGTAATAGTTACACTCCTTAGTGGTTTTCTCAAATTCGTTAATGTAACCAGTTTCGTAATCTGTTCTGAGAAAGAGACCAAATTAAATGAGACTATAGTGTCGTTTAATATATAAATTAGCTTGATATTACTTGGCTTATTACTGTAGGTCTGATTGTGATTGTTATAGCCCAATCTCTGATTGTGATTGTTATAGCCCAATCTCAATTTTACAGGGTCAGCAAGTCCCAAGAAAAGACCACTTGAAGAAGATAAGCAAGAAGAGCCTGCTGCCAAACAGCTAAAAACAGAAAATGGTGCTGAAATTCAGTTGTAAAACTGCAAAAACCATTTAATGCTATTTTTATTATTTTAATATAGTTTTAAGTCATTCCTCCATCCATCTTTTTTTTCTCACAAGAGAATCTGATAAAATCTACTTTGATGTCTACCTGTAAGACAAAGAAGAAAATTACATTTTGAGATTCTTTGTTGGAATAGTGGCTGATTTAACATAGTTCTTTAAAAATATCTGATGAATAAGCCTATAATTAGGCTGAAAGAAAAGGCTGAAAAACTGAACTATATCCTAGTATGTTATGTACAAAACTTTTTATTGAGTAGTGTATAACAAGTATCAGTATCTTGTGTATTAAAGGTTTGTGAATCTTTGTGTTCAGTTACAGATGTATCAAATTGTATTGCTACCTTTAGTTTATTGGAAGGAAAAAAAAATCTATAAATAAAATAAAACAACTATGTAAAGTTACCATGAGCACCTAACTCCAATTTTGTACTTGTCTTCAATGCTGCATTAGAGCTTTCTCAAAATATAATATCTTTTCTTTGTATGGCAATGACAGAAAGTGTCTGCTCCAATGAACAGATGTTGCTTTAGGTTTTAGTGCAAAGGTGACTAAACATAGCTTCTACAGAGACTGCTTTTCATATAACAAAATCCAATATAGATTATATTATGTGATGAAGGAACAGGGGAATTGATCTAGTAAATAAATATACCCTGCTCATAACTTTTATTTCAGAAAGACTTAAAAAATAGTATTGTAATGTATTATGAACAAAAGTAGTCCATCAATTCTGATTCTGTACATGTGGAAAATCTCATTTAGTTTTGATTTCTAACATGCGCTCCGTGCACTAGTAAATGTGCTAATTTGAGAGTTTATTATAATTGTGATCCAGCTTCTAAAATTTGTGGACTGGATTTGTCTTAACCAAATAGCTAGATCCATATTATTCCTGTTTATCTTCTTCTCCCCAACCGTTCTACTTGTGATAGACAAAAATCAAAGAACAGGTATAGAATTAGAAGGATATTTCTACAATAGAAGGTAGTCATCAATCTGAAATATATTTTATTTTGCTTGTTCACTCTTTTTAGCTAAAGAGTTAATGGTGACTTGAGAATGCAGGTAGAATGGAACATGTGTGTGCTAAACAGAAAGGTTGCACAGCCCTTTCAATTTGAAGGCGAAATGAATTTGGAGTTTGTACAGATGCTCAGTTTATACCTGTATGCAGATGCTTAATATAGTTGTTGGCTTTCCTGTGATCACGTAGTTGCTTGGCACAAAATCCCAAGAATATGTGAGTTCGACTTAAGGAGTTTTAGACACATACTAAATGTGTGTTCCTGTATACTCCAAAACAGCTTTTTACTTTATGTACTAAAATCCTGCACAACCCCAAACACAGAATTTTACATTTTATTTATGTGAACTGGTTTGGTTCAGTCTAGTTTAAATTAGTGCCATTCTCTTTCAAGGGTGAATGCCTATGCCCTATGCAAATAATACTGCATTCTAATAATTCTGCTACCCATATGGATTTTACCACAGGGTAATCTGCATGATTCTCATAGTAGTTGTTATTACACACCCCTGCTTTGTAGTCCTTTTACGATATTAGTATAGTAGGTTTTATCTTCTCTGATAAAACACCATGATAACTTTAATCTTTTCTGAGTAGGAATTCTCACTGATAAGTCTTTCTTGTCTATCATACAACACATCAACCTGTCACTGAAAGATAAGAGCCACATATTTGATTGCACCAGCAAGAGAATGGTGAATTGGTGTATGTAATAAAATAGGTCCCATGTTGTTGATTAGGATAAGAGACTCCTATGGCTCTAGAAATTAAATAGTATCATATTTCTACTCCCTCTTGTTTAGATCTTCAATTTTGTTTTCAATACCAGATTATATGTAGAGACCCAGCTCAAATAGAAACATTTTTGGCTACGATCATTTGCAAACAGCTCAGTTATTTAGCAACACATTAAATAGGTTTACTCTGAATTAAAAGCGGCCTAATACTTACTGATTTTTTCTTGTGGAATTTATATGATGCTGGTAGATCATATTTCAGTTCTACAAGTGAATTAAAAAGAATTTAGGCTGTAATGGAAAATCATAAATATATTTGAGAAATGATATATACTAGCTGGAAACAGTTAATACACGTATGATCTGAATTAACTGATACTGGGTTACTGCATATACTTATGATTACATAAAAGTATCTTGTGTCTGGTTGAGTAGCAACAGTTCATTAGAGATCAACTTCTATAATGCAAATACTGCCTATATTTTGAGCATATTTAATTAAGATACAATTATAAAATAATTTTCACAATAGTTTTGGATCTGTGTATTTTAAAAAGCACAAGGGAAACTGCTATGAAACAGTATAAAATGATTAAAAGTAAATAAAACATATTTTGTCATGCTATTTAAGACAGCTTCTATAAAGGTATTTGGTATCCTATATAAAGATAGACTAATATTTGAATGGGAACTCTGTGTGCCTTTAAATTGAATTCAACAATAACAACTTGTTCTTACCTGCTAAAACTTCCATCCCTATATTCCATTCATCTGCTTTTTTCTGAATATGCTGAGCATGAAAGGAATGCAAGATATTAGAGGTTCCCTTAATTTTGATAAATCTATATATATTGCGTCTGATGACGATGATTTCCCTGAACAAATTTTCACAAGGTTTTTCTGTTCTAAACATTGAAAACTAAACTTCTAGATTTTGCACAAGCTGATTGGTATTATAAAAGTTTAATTCTAATATATCTGGAATATGGTGTTAATAAAATGTCTTAGGCTATTCCAGGATACCTGATTTCAGATCTTATGATTGTAGAATACCCAATATTTCTAATCTTATTGTTCCATACAAGAATGTGTATCAGCACAAACTTTAGACATACTTGTCGAGTTGATGTTTTATGCAAGGAATACACAGCTATTCTTGCCATTTGTACAGCTGTCTTCAGAAAAGCCATATCCATGCCTATAAAAATAAAAAGTGTTGAGTTTTAAACCTCTTTTACTCAGTCATAATTATTGTCTCTCCTGCATTTCTAATATCTCAGCAGCCTTAAGCAATATCACCTACAGAAATAAAGTAGTCTTGTTGGTGTTAAGAAAAGCTTGATAATGGTTAGCACTGTATTATTATCTAGCTTTGAGAATACATTTTTCTTTCACTACTAGGTGCCTAACTGATCTGAATACTACAGGTAGTCCTCGACTTACAATCACAACTGAGCCCCAAATTTATGTTGCTAAGCAAGACAGTGGTTAAGTAAGTTTTCCCCATTTTATGACCTTTCTTTCCACAGTTGTTAAGTGAACTACTGCTTAAGTTAGTACATGGCTGTTAAGTGAATCTGGTTTCTCCACTGATTTTGCTTGTCAGAAGGTTACAAAAGGTGATAACATGACCCCAGGACAATGCAACCATCACAAATATGAGTCATTTGCCAAGTGTCAAAATTTTGATTGTGTGACCATGGGGATACTGTAATGGTCGTAAGTGGAAAACTGTCATAAGTCACTTTTTTCAGTGCTGTTGTAACTGAACAGTCACTAAATCAACTGTTGTAAGTCAAGGACTACTTGTATTAAATATTCAGTGTTCCCCTATTCTCAACAGACAGCAAACTGAATTTTGTTTTTTAAACATTCCTAATTAGTATGTTTTAATGTTTAATCAGTTTAAACAATTTAATAATCTGTATTATGTAACCACCTTTGTTTAGATATATTGCTTCAACTATTTTTTATATTGAATTAAAGTTCTAACATCAGAGTTTAAGGTTTGATTTCTATCAGATATTTTTGATTATCTCACTAATAAATGTACTTATCAATAATAAACACATAATTGGTTAAATAATTATCTAGTATGTGCTAAACTATCAAAAAAGCTTTTGCCTTAAATATAGAATGGAAGGCACAGTCCACAGTATGCTAATGGTAGAAATACATTTATAAAATGAAAGCTATTTCTAGGTTATACTTGTTTTAAGACAGATAAAAGTAGGGATATGAAGGAATTGAATTTATGGATGATTGGTGGAATACAGGCTAACAAAAACTTCGGAGATAAGATATAAATTAACCTTGCTTACTACGAATCACAGAATGTAACAAATCTAGCACAAAGGTTTTAAGGTAGGGATTAAGAACTTTTAACTACAAAGGTAATATGGTACTGGAATATATGGCAGAGATACATGGTTACTTGGCAGGAATGGGCAAAACATCCTTTGCATGCAACAGCTAGTTTCAAATTGTCCATGAATTTAAACACCTGAATTCTGGTCAGATAGTTTGCAAGGAGATCAGAAAAAGCCAAGAAAGTTGGTGGCAACGGTTAAGAGAAGGCAGGAAATAAAATGCTCTGGGGAGATTGGGTGAGGCTGACAGGGATTAGTTAGCTATGTAGGGTTGAAGTCAAATAAATGATGCTGATGTCAAGAGCACCACACTAGACCGGTCTGCCCATCTATCTTCCCTGACAAAAGTGCCTACCTTTCCCTTAGCTGGGAAAGATGGGGTGGGGGTGGGTCAGGGCAGTTTATATTATGTTTGAAGGGAGAGACATGGCAGCCAAGAGATGGTAAGAAAAGGAAGTATGGGTTCACTGGCATTATGGAAATGCTATAAAATAAATAAAATTAGATAGTGGCTTCTTCAGGAAATTCATTCCCATTCAAGGAAAAAAAATGGCTAACCTTTATTGTGCTTAGTTCCAAAAGGAGGATTCATAATAACTGTATCAAATGTTTTGGATATTTTGTCAAGCAAAGAACATACGTTGCACTGAACCATGTCAACATTTGTGAGGTCAAATTCTTCAGTATTCCTGTTAAATACCTCCAGCGCATTGGCATCTATATCAAATCCTATACATAACCTGAGAAAAATAAAATTAAGAGAATTATAGTAGCATATATTACTTTTAAAACTTGTTAACTCCTACTGCTAATCTTTAAGATTAATTTTAATACTACTGGTAGATCTGTTGTGATTTTCATTTTTTTTTTTGTTAAAGGAAAAATGAACTCTTTGATTTCTAAATGACAGTTATATAAATTTTGAACGATTAAGACAATGTGAGTACCTAAACTGCATTCTTAATTAGAAATGTGTCTAATAAATCTGTATTTACAATATAGGTAGTCCTTGACTTACATCCAGAATTACAGTCTTAATTTGTTGAACTCATTAAATGTGATGTCAGTGTGAAGTATGAAATCAGACCCAGGAACGTGCCTGTGCCTGAATTCACAGCCTAAGTTGTTAAGTAAATGCCACAGCCATTAATTGGTTTTTTCAATGGGCATTTTTTGCCAAAACCCAGAAGTAAATATCAGAAAACAGCAAAATCCACCAAAAATTGCAGTTGTGAGACTGCAGCATGGTGCAAATGGCCATCAATGCAAATCCAGTAGTCAAAACACCGAAAATACAATCACTTGATGCAGATGTTTGTGTATGGCCATCAGAACTCTGGAACTGGGTGGTAAGTAGCTCAGGGAGATCTGTCATAACTTTGAATGGTCACTAAGCAACCAGTTGTTAAGCAAGGACTACCTGTAGTTGGACTGAATGGCAAAGATCCAATTTGACTGCTTTAGCCATGTAGCTTTTCTTGGTGGCAACACAGAAATGGCTTGTCATTACCTTTGTTTTATTTCAGGATGGTTGTTTTTTTTTTAAACTTCGTAGTTTTAGTTTACAGCCCAGGGATTTCCTAGTAATCTGATTCTGATTAGCTTTAATCATGACTAATTAAAAACATGCAACAAGCATTTTCTAAAGCTACCATTTAGATCAGTGGTTCTCAACCCTTCTAATGCCGCGACCCCATAATACAGTTCCCCATGTTGTGGTGACCCCCAACCACTTATACATCACTGGGTGCCAGGGGTGTGGCCAAAGAAAAGGGGAAAAAAATGGTGGACAGCCTTGTTTGGCGACCCCCGTGAAATGGTCGTTCGACCCCAAATGGGGTCCCGACCCACAGGTTGAGAACCACTGATTTAGATGGATTTATTTTGAGATAATATAGCTCCTTGTTTTGACATTCTTGTTCTGAAGTACCTCTGGTTTTCATCCTTCCTCATTTAGTTTAATATTAAAAGAGCAATAAGAAAATGAGATTCCTTACCCTGCTCCCAACATGGCACTTCCAATGCTCAGTATGCCACAACCACATCCAAGGTCTGCCACAATCTTGTTTTCAATATCATCAAATGTATTATGAATTGTATAAAGCATACATGCTGGAAAATAAAAACATATAGGCAACAGGTTCAGAGCAAATACAAACTATACTAAAACTGGGATGAATAAAGGTCATCTTATCTATTTCCTCATTCAAGCAACATTTTATTTTATTCATCCACAAATTAATATGTCAGCAAACTTTATAACAGTAATGTAGTATAACACCTACTAAGATGGCTACAATGTGTCTGTAAGGCAGATAAAAACTCACATAAGTGAAATACCAAAGCTTTCAAGGAAAGGCCCTCCTTAAATACAAACATCTAGATTGAAAACAAGCACTGATTTTTATAGGTAGAAAAAGTATAGGGGAGAATCTAATCAAGAAACGCATTAGTTACACAGGAGACTTTATCACTTAAACTTTAGCAAAATATTAACTCCCCAACTTCTAAGATTCTTGGAATTAAACAATCAGCATTATTATATTAGATAAAGAACATATAATTTAATGAAGATAATCTTTAGAATAAGCTGTTAGAATATGTACAATCAACCAACACTATATACACGACAAGGAGAAGAGTAAAATTTACCTGCAATATGTGGCCGTGTCGGATATTGTTCAAGCAGGAGTTTTGGATTCTCAAAGACATCAACTTGCTGCAAACAACTCTCAAGTTCTTTAAGTTTTAACTTTTTCATGCTTAGAATTTAAGATTTATAAAGGGAATGAATGAATACATACAAATATTAATGCTTGTTTATATTGTCCTTTTTATAATCTCAATAAAATATTTTTTTTAAATCTGAGGCATACAATTTAAAATACAAAAAAACTCAAAATTTATTGACATTTATTTATATTTCATAATTCTTAGCCCATCTCCCTTGAATGAAAAAATGTTATCCAACAAATGAACTGGTTCATATTCCAACAGACTAATCATCTGGATTTGTATTACATTAAGCCATAAATTATGCTTCACAAACCATAATGGATGCATTAATACAGCAAACTAAACCAAATTTATACTAACATAGTATTTTGAAATATGAAACCAGACTGGGGAAAAAAAATCTGTTAATTTTTATGCTCAAAATTTAGTGTTGCTTAACTTTAAACATGGCAGAAAAACTGATATGTAGGGACATTTAAAATGTTCCAAAGTAACGACCTTACTTTTCTTTAGATGAACGTTAATGGAAAAAACTGGGGGAAGGAGGTAGATATTTCATACTTCTGAGCTTATGAACTGAAATTAATCCTGAGATGCATTGTTGTATCCAAGTTTCTTTCCAGTCGAGCTAGACTCCAAGCGTTTTAATGGACAATTATTTTTCTTGCCTGGTTTTTTTTCGAGTTTCCGTTAATTCTGGGATAAATTTGCAGAATATCCTTATACAGGAGGAAAAATAAGTTAACTATTTTATCTGTTAATATAAGTATAGAAATTATTTATACAAATAATCGCAACATCTACTCTACCCTACACCTCCTTAAAACATAGAAAACGCTTTTACCTCTCTGCCCTTTCCTCAACGATCACGTATTTCCGCTTTGTGCAGCAACTTAAGCAACCCTCCAAACAAGGGAAACAAAGTCCCATGCCTTCAGTTCCTATCCAGAAAACGGAGCACAAGGAGCCTCCCCCCCCATATCCATTATTCTGGAAATCCTAGAAATAGAAAAGAAGCGAAGCTGATGGGATCTCAATTTGGACACGTCTATCCGAAAGAAAATAGTTTTAAAGTAAAGAAGTCCGGTTTCTGTGGATTGTTATGTAATGCTGTTATCATCTATTTCCCCGGACTTTTAAAAAAATAAATTCCGCAATGCCAGGAGGAGGGTTTTACTTGCACATAAATATAGAGTATACCATAAAGGTGTGGTGAATACCTCACAGGTTTGATTCGATTCGACTCAGTTCGATCCATCTCAATCCTTCGAAAATTTAAATGTGGTTCATTATGGCTCGAAAGTTATCTAAAAATACTAACAATACTTAACCTGCGGTAACTGCTGTTCCAAGGTTTAACGCCTTCTGTGCCATCAAGTCATTTTCGACTCCCAGCGATCACACAGATGAACGTCTTAGCAACTGCTTATTTTTAATGGTTGCCGTTTCCGCTTGCCTAAAGATTACGCATTTTATTTCTGCTCACCTCATCGAGGCTTATGTTGCATTTCCACATTCTTTGGTTTTCCCCCCCCTGTGCATTTATGCACAGTATAAAGTAAAGCTTGTCTTGCTCTGTGGGTATGTAACAGTCGGCTTTCTCCACCTTCGCTAGAGATTGATGACACTTGTTCCTTTGGCACGGGGAAAATTTAGGAGAACATTTCAGATCAGAAAGATCTTATTCTGGGGTGCCTGCTATTAGACTATTTAGCAACAGCTTGCTATGTAAGAAGACCCGGTAAGCGCCCTGCTTCATCCCTGATAAGTTTTTGGTCCTACTTCCTTAAAGTTTCACCCAGCCATAATCAACGCCTAACCGGATTAAGTTCATTAAAGGAAGGCGGGCAAGAAGAACTTGGCACCATGAGAAAAGTGCCGCTTAAAGTCCTAAGCGCATGGGGGGGGGCAACCTCAGCGGCCCCTGCCACGCGGACTAAAGTCTCCTCGGGGGCAAGTTCGCTCCCGAGCAAGCACGCGGGGATTGCAGCTCTTGGTTTTCCCCGAGGCCTTTCGCAGAAAGCGCCTTTTCAACCGGCTCTTCCAGCTGATGAAGGTCCAGTCCCGAGCATATACGAGCAGCGTTTATCAGCGCGGGCACCACCAGCGAGTCTCTTCACGGAGCGGGGGTGGGAGGGAGACGACGGGAGGCTCTCGGAGAGGGCAAAGCAGTAAGGGCGGTCAGCGCTGTGGCAGAAGGTGGAGGGGAGAGAGTACTGTAGGCGGCCGGGGTGCTGACTTTCCCGGCTATCGCGAGAGGCGCCGCTAGGAGGGAAGGGAGGGGAAAGGCGAGAGAGGGAGGCAGGTGAGAGAAGAAGCGCAGCTAGAGTCGGAGGGCTACGCCGCTCATAGCGGCTGCCTTGGTGGACGGACGTCCTCGGCTGCCCTCATGGCGGGTGCGGGGGCTGGAGGGGGCGCCCAGGAGAAGCGGGCTACGGCGGCGCGCCTGAAAGCGGCCCTCAGCGCCGCCGTAGCTGCCGCCGCCGCCGCCGCGGCCGAAGAGAGCGAGGCTGCCGGAGAACTCCAGGCGCTCCTGGAGCGGGTCTTGGGTCCCCTGGCGGGCAGCGACGACACCGAGGCGGTGTCCGAAGCGCTGGGGTGGTGCCGCTCTTTGCTGGCGGGCGGCGAGCCGTGGGACGGCTTCGTACAGGCTGTCAGGGCCTATGACCCGGCCACGCTCTGCGGCCTGGTGTGGACGGCCAACTTCGTGGCCTACCGCTGCCGGACTTGTGGGATCTCGCCTTGCATGAGCCTCTGCGCCGAGTGTTTTCACCAGGGCGAGCACGCCGGACACGACTACAACATGTTCCGCAGCCAGGCAGGGGGGGCCTGCGACTGCGGCGACGGCAACGTAATGCGGGAAGCCGGGTGAGTGGAAACAGCCCACTGGCTAGCGAATGGGAGGATCCCGGGGCCGCTCCAGCAAGTGTGTGGGGTTTCAGAAAAGCCACGAATGGCCCGCTCGCTCTGTTCCCTTTTTCCCAAGTGGTTTTGAAGGAAGCACGCGTGCCAAAATAAAAATAAAAATCGTGTATGACAGGGCTGTGATCCGGAAGGACAGGTGATGTAAGCTCTGTAAAGAAGTTAGCCACCTCTAGGCTGACGCCTCATGCTATTTCATTGGGACTATAGTAACTCATCTTCATGGGCGTCTGCTTTTAGGATCCGTACTCATAGTAGCTAAGACACAGTACTTTTGTGTCCATCTAGTATGTTGAATCGGGGATAAGCCCCTAGAATGCAGCACAACCTCCCGCGTACTCTGTAGCATCAATATGTCCTGTTCCCTAAATGTATGTAGAATCTGATATATTGCATAAATTTTTGTGAAGCAGGTTTTAGTTTGTAGAAGCCATAATAAATTTGTCTTTAAAGAAAATTTACTCTTAAGCTTACACTTGTTCCACAAGCTGCATTCCTTTGCGAATTACAATCTTTACTTCAACAAGAAGTCCTAAATTATTCTTAGGAGAGAAAATATCAATTCTTGGACATGAAAGTTAGGTATCAATAATTCTGCCAGCCAGGTTCAAACTCTTGGACATTTTCCTTGGCCCCTGGAGGCCTATAAGATTTTGCTGTTAAAATTCTGATAGGGTTAGTGTATCTATAAAAACAAAATCGCAAACATGGTAGAAGGCAGATTAATATGGCTCCATATTTCCTGATTCGTACATTTTAAATATGAGATTGAAAACTATACTATTAATAAAAGATACAGTATTCTTCTGCTCATTAATTGTATTTATTTATTGATCTTTTACATTAAGTTGAAAGAAGAGTAATGTTGCAGGACTCTGTATAAGTTAGAATTGTTAAGTTTGCATCTTATATATTCCAGGCAATACAGTACTTCTTTTTATTCTGTGTTCTTCCTGAAGTTAAAAACATTGGCTTGACTCACTACACTATGCCAGTATATTAATTCATGATTCTGTATAATAAATAAAAACAGAAAATTGTAGGGAATTCATTCTTATGTGAATTCATATCTTATGTGAATTCATTAAGTAGTATCCCTTTTGCTAGCTACAGGTCAGCAAGTTGTAGAAGTTTCCATATAGTGTTCTATGTTTTCACCAAAATGCCCATGACATTATTACCCCATATTCTCTTAACACTGGTAGAGATTAATTATAACTATGTCTTTAGCCCTTCCATATGAATGTTTATATTATTAGGAGGCTTTATAAAGTTGTCAATCAAAGGTTATGCAAGGGCTCATTTTTGACATTTGAGAAATAGAGAAATCCCACATACCAAATAACTTGTCTATAGTAGGAAATATAGGAGAAATGGGGCACAGGCTGTTGCACTGAAGACTTGTTTCTAATTTCAGTCCAGGTTAAATCCTTGGACAAAATAGTATTCAAGCAAATTACCAAAACAAATTCCTGTACAACATGCTTTTATTTTGTGGCAAAACAAAATGTTGACTTCTGAATTTGAAGTCATGGTTCAACTAATATAGCATAAAGAATAATAAAGGGCCAACGGGATAAGGACATACTTGAAAAAGGTTAGAAAATATAGATTACCTTAAAGAATGGAGTAAATAGTTGGAACAAGAAAGTAGCCTGAGAGAAGAGCTGACTGACAAAATGATGCAAAGAACTATAATAAAAGAGATGACACATGGGGCATATTTCCTTTTTGAAAGTCAATAATGCACTCAAATGTTGGGTAGAGCTGCTGCTAGTGGTGCTGGGGTAATAGTACATGTCAAGTTGCTATGAGGGCATACTTTCAGTTCAGTACTTTTTTGACAGGATGAGATGATTGAATACTGCCAAACTTTCTTGTCACAAAGAAAGCATGTGATAGAGTCATCCTATCCTCTGCCTCTATGTTAGTAGTTTGATACATGAACTTTGAAGTATGCCAGAATGTAAATAAGTCTCAAGTGTTGACTACTCAGTGTGATATACGCTGCCCATTGTTATTAGTATGAATTTAGAGAGAGAAAACAAAATATCTGTGGGCTCTAGTCATTTTTATTTTCATGCGTGAACAGTTGCACATGACAGTAGACAAGTTTTTTCATTAAAATATTACTACACCTTATAATTTATTGGTAATATAACAGTAGCCTTCAGCCTTTGTGGAAAAGGTTCACACAAGTCATAAAGTGATTGCTTTTATTTTTGAATATTACAGTGGGGCAAAAAAGTATTTAGTCAGCCACCAATTGTGCAAGTTCTCCCACTTAAAAAGATGAGAGAGGCCTGTAATTGTCGTCATAGGTAGACCTCAACCATGAGAGACAAAATGAGAAAACAAATCCAGACAATCACATTGTCTGATTTGGAAAGAATTTATTTGCAAATTATGGTGGAAAATAAGTATTTGGTCACCTACAAACAAGCAAGATTTCTGGCTCTCACAGACCTGTAACTTCTTCTTTAAGAGGCTCCTTTGTCCCCCACTCGTTCCTGTATTAATGGCACCTGTTTGAACTTGTTATTAATATAAAAGACACCTATCCACAACCTCAAACAGTCACACTCCAAACTCCACTATGGTGAAGACCAAAGAGCTGTCAAAGGACACCAGAAACAAAATTGTAGACCTGCACCAGGGTGGGAAGACTGAATCTGCAATAGGCAAGCAGCTTGGTGCGAAGAAATCAACTGTGGGAGCAATAATTAGAAAATGGAAGACGTACAAGACTACTGATAATCTCCCTCGATCTGGGGCTCCATGCAAGATCTCATCCCGTGGGGTCAACATGATCACAAGAACGGTGAGCAAAAATCCCCAGGGGGGCCTAGTGAATGACCTGCAGAGAGCTGGGACCAGCGTAACAAAGGCAACCATCAGTAACACACTACGCCGCCAGGGACTCAGATCCTGCAGTGCCAGACGTGCCCCCCTGCTTAAGCCAGTACATGTCCGGGCCCGTCTGAAGTTTGCTAGAGAGCATTTGATGATCCAGAAGAGGATTGGGAGAATGTCCTATGATCAGATGAAACCAAAGTAGAACTGTTTGGTAGAAACACAACTCATCGTGTTTGGAGGAGAGAGAATGCTGAGTTGCATCGAAAGAACACCATACCTACTGTGAAGCATGGGGGTGGCAACATTATGCTTTGGGGCTGTTTCTCTGCAAAGGGACCAGGACGACTGATCCGTGCACAGGAAAGAATGAATGGGGCCATG